GGCAGGGATTCGTAAATTGCAATTAAGGGCTATAGAAACAGTTCAACACTTTCAGAAAGGAAGATTTATTACTAAAAGGGTCAAACAGGTGCAATAAAAATATTTACAGAGAAGATGTAACAAAGATATATATATACATACACACACACAGACAAAGAACCATAGCACAGCAAAGAGATATCAGAGAGAACGGGAAGAGTTAAAGTACTTACCAAAAGCCCTGGGTCAGCAGATCCAAGTTGCAGAGCAGAAGCAGAATTTGATCTCCATATGTTACGATGGAAAGATAGGAGATGTTTTCAACCTAACTTTTTAGGCCTGCTAGCCTGTATTTTAAAGTCCCCCAGCAGGGGGTGGCTCTGAGTAACTGACCAATACTATATTTAGGGAGGGGATTGGCAGGCGGAACCCAAAATTAGAACAAGCATCTTTCATAATTTATATTCTGGCCTATAACTTCCCAGCTGCACCAGCGACAATCTCTCCGCGGGTATTTTATTATGCAAATAAGTCTAAGGATCATGTAGATATGAATTATGAAATTGTACGTTACACGGTGTACGAGTTCTATGTTTTGGCTCCCCTGATGATCTGAGGTGGATGAGTGACCCATCAAAATGTTCGTCTGCGCATTCGCCATCTGACAAGGTGCCCAGTTTTTATGTAAGTCTTCCATATTTCAATATATGAAACATAGGGGAAAACTGGATCTTTTAAAAATGTTATCTGGTTTGTGCTTCTTGGGAATGCCTTGAACTCTTGGGAACGCTCTGTTATCTTTTCCCGAGGTGTGAAATTACACAGGTTCTCCAGGGAGTGAGGCACCACCTGGCTCCCTGCTGGGACCTGGCCTATGACACTTTTAACACACAAACTGTCACTGTGCCTCTCAGAAAGGGACGGGGAAGGAGAATAAGGGATAAATTAATACTTTTAATAAAAGGGGGAATCTGTGTCCATCTCTGATGTGCAAGTTTGCTACAGGGCTCAGTACAGGGCCGGCATTAGGCTGCATTTACATCGATGCATTTTTGGAATACACACAGAAGCGTGTATAAACATGTTCTTGTGCGTGTTACTGAGTGAAAAATGCATGAAAAACACAAGTCGCGCTTGCAGTACCATTAATTGCACTCCAAACATGGGCAGCAGATGCGGGTTTTTGCGTGGAGCAAAACGCGTGACAAATGCACCACAAACATTCTAAAATGCATGTAAAAAAACAAGCAAAGCTCTACATCTGAAAAGGTGCAGGAACTCCATCAGCAAGTTTGTCACTTGTAGAGCAGCCCATTCAAGTGAATATACTGCCCTATGCGTGTTGCATGAAAACACAAAATACATGGAAAAAAGGCGCACACAAATGTACATTCAGGGGATGCTCAGGAGATGCTGGGAGTGAACTAGGCCTTAGGAATTCAATAGATTCCCAATGTCTCCATAATAAGTACTCTGCATCTGTGACATCTGCACTAGACATTGGGGTTTGTGTTAAATAATATTAGGGTAAATAAAGTCCCGTTCACACTTGTGATTAGGTGTGATTACATGCCGAAACCTCAGCGGTGATTAAGGGCTCTTTCACGCGGACGTTCCATTTTTCAGGGAGACCCAATTAGAACCTCCATTCTCCTCTATGGAGCAGCGGATGTAAACGGACATGTGTTATGTACATCCGCCGACATCCAATCCGATACGCCAAAAAGGGACAGGTGGAGATCCAATTCCCCTTCTGTCAGTCGGATGAAACCGGACAGGTGGTCCATTTTCATCCGATCGCCCATTTAGTAGAACAAGCAGCTTCGTGTCTGTTCACCAGCAGTGGAGTGGACACAGAGTTGTCATCTGCTTGCTCAGCGGGATCAGAGGAGAGATCCCCCACTGAGCACCCAGATCTGCTGTCCCATGTGAAAGGACCCTAACTGGGGTACGCATCACCTTGAAATCAATGTAAGGCCCCTTTCACACGGGCGTTCTGAATATCCGTTTTTCATCTGTCCCTTTACGCATGAAAAACGAACAACTATGTATTTCTATGGACTAGCGGATGTAAACGGTGATCATCTGTTTACATCCGTTAATGTCTGCATCCGTTAACATCCATTTTTTTTAACGGAAGAAAACCCTATTTTTCTTCTGTTAAGAAAAACAGAAAGGACAAAAAAAACGATGTACATGGACAAAAACAGATGCAAACGGATGAATAAAAATCAGATGTAAGCGGACGTAAATGGATGTAAACGGACAAAAAAGATGTAAACAGATGAAAAACTGATGTGAACTGATCCGTTTTTTCTTGGAAAAAACGTGACTGAACTGATGAAAAAAAACGGAACGCCGTGTGAATGGGGCCTAAGGCCCCGCAGCTAATCGCTGCCACTTGAATGTAATTGCTCATTACCTGCAGTGATTGTCCCAGGATGCACACAGACTACATTCAGGGCAGATCACTTTAAGGTTCCATGCACACTAGCGTTGCTTTTTAAGCTCAGAAAATGCTGGATAAAAAACGTTGGTAACAGCGGTTTTTAGTAACATTATAGTAGCGTTTTAGTAGCGTTTAGGAGCGTTTGTATTTTGTTAGCGTTTTTATAGTACATGTAGAAAAAAAAGAAAGCTGTTAGTATCATTTTCGTAGGGTTTAGCATTTTTTTTTCTGCTAGAAAAACGCTCCAAAAAACTCTACAAAATACAATTTTTTTTCTGCTCCTGGAAGTTGAAGCTCAAGAAACGCTAACAGCCTAAAGTAGTGTGCATGGACACATAGGAGGACACTATTTAGGAGCAGAAATAAAAAATGCTATTAACAGCTTCTAGCAGCTTAAAGAAATGCTAGTGTGCATGTTGCCTCAGGTAGTTACTTCATGCGTTTTATGCGTTTAATTGCAAGTGGCTGTGATTACCTGCAGGAACTGTCAGCCTATCACTGATTTCCATGGGTCTGCCTTCTGCAGCTAATTGCTGGGAACTCTGCTGGGATTCCTGCATGTAGTCACACATGACCCCATTCACAAGTATGAATGGGGCCTAAAGAAACAACACATATGGGCCCCTAGAATGGACGTGCGTGCAAAAGTAAATGTCAACTACATAGCACATCATAGATAGGAAGGGCAGAAGTAGAGGAATAAGACGGGGGCCATCATTTTGGTTTAACTCTAAGACCCCGGTCACACTGGGTGCGACTTGGCATGCTATTTGTATGCCATGCGACTTGCAAATTGTATGCCAATCCGCACCCTATTGTCCGAAATTACAGCCGTCATATCGGTGCGGTTCCGACTTGGTTGGACCCGCACCGATTTCCAATGTAGTACATGCACTAGTTTTGGTGCGATTTGCATACAGATCTGTGTCAGATGTCTTGCAAATCGCACCTAAAATCGGCGTGTCCCCCAACTTTGAAATCGTGCAAATTCACTGTTAGTCGCACGATTTCAAAGTCGGCCTTGATGTGACCGGGGTGTAAGAGGCAAATTTAAAGTAGTTGTAAAGGCTCGAGGTTTTTTACCTTCATTCATTCTTTGCATGAAGATAAAAACCTTCTCAGTGCAACATCCCCCACAGCCCCCCCCTAATACTCACCTAAGCCCCCTCTTGATCCAGCGATGTGTTCTGGAATCTCAGCTATCACAGGACTGCCTCTCCTCATTGGCTGAGACAGCAGTGGGAGTCAGCCATTGGCTCCCATTGCTGTCAATCACAGCCAGTGAGCCAATGAGAAGAGAGGGGGGCAGGGCCGAGCCATGGCTCCATGTGTGAATGGACACACAGAGCAGCAGCTGGGGAGTTTGCATGCTCGAGTGCCCTCATAGCAAGCTGCTTGCTGTGAGAGCACCTGACAGGAGGGAGGGGCCAGGAACGCTGGCAGGGGACCCGAGAAGAGGGGGGATCTGGGATGCTCTGTGCACAACCACTACACACAGCAGGTAAGTATAGACATGTGTGTTATTATTGTTTAAAAAATTTACACCTTTAGAATCACTTTAAAAAAGAAAAAAAAATATTAAAGTAAAAAGAGTCTGAAGAAAAAAAATATGGCAGGAGAACCCCATGACAGGACCTAACAAAGTCATATGACCAGCGCTCTGCCAATCACACAGTTCTCTCCGCTGAATTGATCAGAGATGACTCTGTAGGATAGTGAAGGCTCCGCTCCGTGGCCTGTATTCCTGTATTTAGGCCCCATTCATAGTACTGATACTGAAACACACACACTCCCATGCCCGGTACCATGATATCTGGCATTGCATGCTACTTGAGATGGGTGATGTGGTTCTGAATTGCACCCAATGCACCTTGCTGATAAAGGTGAGCTACACAGCAGCACAATGTGTGGTATGGCGCTCACATACGCTGTAGTGTGGTGTGCTGCCATGAAAGGTGCAGGTCTGATTCCTGGGCAGCTGAGGTGGTATCCCATGTATTCAATCTGAATTGGATACCTAATGCAGCACATATAAATGTACAAAAACATGCGTGCTTTACCACACCACAGCACTTCACGTTACCCTCACCTGAATTTAACTACTTGCCAACTGCAGATAGCCGAATGATGACTGTAGACGGTCAGTTCTGGGAGGGTGTCATATGACATGCTCCCAGAACGCACTCTCCTGCGCGCCCCCCCAGGGGCACGCACCCGGCGATCTCCATGGTTGCTGTGTCCTACAGACCCAGCTGATCATGTGATGTGGTAAAAGGCCAATCACAGAGGCCGTTTACCACGCGATCAGCTGTGTCCAATGACATGCTGATCACCGGGAAATGCAATTGCCGGTTCTCGGCTACACTTTCCTCATGCTGTCAGAGCGTGAGGAAAGTACTGCCGAGAACCGGCAGTTGTCAGAGCGGGGATCAGCACCGATCATCACGGCACTGGTGATTGGTGCCCAGCAGTACCACCCACCAGTTCCGCCCACCTGTGCTCAGCAGTGCGCCCACCTGTGGCCAGCAGTGCCACACACCTGTGCCACCCAGCAGTGCCACACACCTGTGCCCAGCAGTGCACCCACCTGTGCCAGCCAGCAGTGCCACACACCTGTGCCAGCCAGCAGTGCCACACACCTGTGCCCAGAAGTGCAACCTACCTGTGCCCAGAAGTGCCACCTACCTGTGCCCACCAGTGCCACCCACCTGTGCCCACCAGTGCCACCCACCTGTGCAGCCCAGCAGTGTTGCCAGTCAGTACCACCAGTCAGTGCCCAGCGGTTGTGCCAGTCAATGCCTAGCAGTACCGCCAGTCAGTGATGCCAGTCAATGCCACCTATCAGTGCTGGCTATCAGTGCCGCCTATCCGAGACACTTCATTAGTGCTGCCTATCAGTGCCGCCTATTAGTGCCCATCAGTGCTGCCTCATCAACGCACATCAGTGAAGGAGAAAAATTACCCGTTTGAAAAAATTTTAAAATAGAAACAAAGAAACTTTTTTTTTTTTTTTCACGTTTCTTGCATTTTTTTGGTTTATAGCGCAAAAATTAAAGTGCCCAGCGGCGATTAAATATCACCAAAAGAAGCTCTATTTGTGATAAAAAAAATGATAAAAATTTCATATGGGTACAATGTTGCATGACCGTGTAATTGTCAAAGTGCGACAGCGCTGAAAGCTGAAAATTGGCCTGGTAAAGAAGGGGGTATAAGTGCCTGGTAGGCAAGTGGTTAAACCCAATGATTTATTATTTTTCCAAAACAGATACATCCAAGGCCAGCCATGAATTGCTTGTACTCAACCAAACTGTCAAGTCATCAAATGGCCGGTGTCAGAGGATTCAGTTCTGCTTTAAATCAGTATTGTACCCCAGAGCAAAAATGTAATACATTGCAGCTGACCGATTCCTAGATATGGTGGCTGCATTAGTTGTTCAGACCAGGTGATACAGCCAGTAAGTCTGTTGATTTTCAACCTCCTTTAACAGACCAAGCTGTACAGAAAAAGTGTCAGTTAGAGGGTTGAGACAAACCATTTACCACTGACAGGGGTGCTTACAATGATCAGCTTTTTATTCATTTATGTAAGACTTTTATCGCAAAAGAAATAAAAACTGTTGCTTTATCTGCTTATAAAGTGTTAACTGGAGTTCAGTTTTTGTTAGTCAAGTCTAATATTCCCCCCAGAATGGTAATGCTGTTGTTGGGTCTATCACCATCCACAGTGGGGACTCCTTAGGACAAGACACGTGTTACTAACTGGATCACCAGGTAAAAATAAAGAAAAAATAAATCCTCCTCTGCTCCACTGACAACGGTTTTCCTGTACAGCTGAATATGGCTGCTCACAGGGACTTCCTTGTGCCGTTGTCAGTGTCTGTACTAGCAGGACAGCACAGCCCACCCTGGGCAGCCTCAACCTATCCGTCCCATTCTGCTCCTCAGTGATCACATCCTCCAACTGCAGAGGAGCAAACACATCACTTCTGGAAGCAATCCTCCTAGGTAAAAAGGTACAAAAACAAAGCTTAAACTGGCCATAGATGGTGCGATTTGTGGTTGCAGGAAAGAAAATCGCTGGATTCCCTCATCATCACAGTCAGAGTTGATGAGGAAATGCCTCCCATGGAGCTATTGCTGCCGGCAATAATAATTGCATGAAAAATCCAACATGCTGGTTGTACCCAAGTTGATTGATCAATAAACTTGGATACAATCAGACCACACACAGATTGTTCGAATCTCTGCCTGTCCCTTTTAAACTGTGCAAGATTCGAAGTGTCCTGGCCGGCTTTAGTCAGACCAATTGATTTACATTCCTGAAATGATCGAGGGATTTATTTAAACACAAACCTTTTATTCCACTTTCAGTCTCTGTTCACATCTCTGCTTTTTGCTTTTTTCTGCTTTGCAGTGTTTGCATTGGCACAGGGGCCCATTTATTTGAATATGCTGCTCTACTTGTTAAAAATGCAGAGAACAGATCCTTCCACCTTCTCTGAAATCACAACCACACAGAAACCTCATGGTTCTCTGTGTTCCTGTGGACAAGAACATGCCCCACATTTTCCAATACGTGGGGGTGCCATTAAAGCCTAAGTTCACCCTTAGAGTCCAGCACAACCCAAAAACAATTGATCATGTTGAAAGCAATCAATATAACAATAACATACAGTGCATGTAAGTGAATATAATACACAAATAAAAAGATCCAAATCAATCCAAAAGTGATTGCTCCACAAAAAGTGTTAAATAACCCGAATGTTGTGCAATAAATACAAAATAACACTGAAATAGTGTCCAGGTGTGTTATTTTGAACATCAAAAAAAAATCGATCCAAAAAACAATCAACCTAAACAAACAAATTGAAAAACAATCTTTTGTCCTATATTCTCTTATATGCACTGTATTTTATTGTTATGTCTATTGATTGCTTTCCACACAATTGATTTTTTGCTGCATTGCACTCTCTGTATATACATTTCCAGTTGTGGGAACACGTCAGTGAATTAGTGGTAACCTGCATTTTGTTTTCCTAGATTAGGGGTGGTGTGGGGGTATTGCTTTATTTTTATCACCTTTGGAACATGTTACACCCACTTTTAGGGTGGAACATGTAACATGTTCCAGCATCTGTCACCTTCTCCCAGATCCCCCCTCCCTGTGATAGCAGATGTGGGGAGAGGATCCCCAGTTCGCTGTCACAGGGAGGGGAGATGGGGGAGAGGAGGCAGGAGCTGGAACATCTTACATATTCCACCTGTAACGTGTTCCAAAGGTGAACTTAGCCGTTAATTGTTGTTTATTCAGAGATTGGTAAAAGGGATTAAAGTGGAAGTTCAGCCAAAACCGAACTAATGCTAAACCTGCTCCCACCCCCATTCTAATCCTCATCTATCTAACCCTGTAAAGAAAAGATCGCTGTACTTACCTGATCTAAAGCTGCTCTGGGCTGGTCTCCAGCTGTGGCTTCTGTGTAGAGAGAGAAAGCCGACAACTGCTGGGAAGTGACTAGGAAATGGAGCCACCCATAGACTTACTATGGGGCATTCGTTGTCGGCTGCCACTGCTCTACACAACAGCCACTGCTGACAGCTCAGCCTGGGACCAGACCGGAGCAGCTCCAGAATAGGGGAGTATAGAGCTCTCTTTACACAGTTAGATAGATGTCCTGCTTTTCAGGCAGAATTGAGCATTTTTGTCCTCATAGGCTTCAATGGAAACGCCTGAAAAGCACGACATGAGTTTTATTTTTGGCTTTTTTTCAAGCGTTTTGTCGTGTGTTTTCTGCTGAAACAGCAGCTCTCCAGCCCTGGAAGTTGAAAAATGCCTGACAAAAGCTGTAAAAACATGCAATTCTGCTCCAGAAAAATGCTCAAACCATTTGAAACATGCCGCTTAGGTGTGAATGTAGCCTTAGTGTTAGATTCAGGTTTTGGCTGAACTTCCACTATAAATGTCTCTACAGCACCCATGACACTTTTAAGGTCCCTTTCACACGGGTCCATTGAAAAGCTTAGTAATAATGCAGAACGTGTTTTGATGCGTTTTTGGTGAATTTTCTGGTTGCGTGACTCCCAGCAATGCACCCTTGACACATGGACATATGACTCAAACAGCGCATCAAAAATGCAATCACGGTGCTTTTTTATGTATTTTCTATTGATTCAATAGGAGGAGTGTAGTTGGTGCTCTTTTTAGACAGGTTACCAAAGATGCAGCATACAAGACTTTTTAAAATGCTCCTCCCCCACAGTGCACTGGTGTGACGGATCCCATAGGATATAAAGTGAAATATTTTTTTCTGCATTTTTCTTGTGTTTTTAGGGCAGTCTATTGAAATGAAATGAATGGTAAAAGTGCAGCAAAGATGCATGAATGTGAAAGGGTCCAAACTGAAAGTCCGGAGATTGCTGAAGAGAACAGAAACATCTCACAGCTGCTATTGCAGTCATCAGCGTGTTTTACCCCTTTGAGGCCAGGTTCAATGTGATCATGTGACAGAGCTCACACGCATTTCCATGTCACATATAGGGCAGCCCATTCATTTTAATAGACTGCCCTACATGTGAGAAATGAAAAAAAGTACCTGACCCTCTTCCAAAATCATGCCGCACTGATACACATGGATTGTGTATGGCTGTGGCTCCATGTGTTTCGGCATATGTGAAAACGCACACAATAGCAGATATGTGAGATGCCATTAACAGTTAGTGACACCTCCATGCATCTGCAAGAGGGCGGTGTGTCTCTGCGTGTATCTGGAAAGCACAAGATTCTGCACTTTCCCGGGACTATTGTGAACCTAATCTACCTGCCATAATGATGATCATGTGCTTTACTACAGCAGTCAAAGGGTTAAAATGTCCATAAATCTGTACTAAGAGAAGTCTGCTGGCTGCTATTGTTACCATTCTCCTGAAATTGCTGGTTGCCTGGCTGTCTTTGGCTCCGTATGTTGAATCTCTAACCTGGAACAAGCATGCAGCAAGTAAAGTCAGAGTGAAGTCTGGAGTAGAGGAGATCAGCTATGTGTTTGTCGGCCTTTCCCCCCCTGTATCCTGTCTGCAGGGTTTGTATTTGGTGTAATAAAGAAATAGAAATGTAAGAATTGTCTCACCTCCAGTCTGGTTGAATCGGCTCATCAATGTCTGTACATTGTGCTTGTGAACAGGCTCAGCGCCCCGACATCTTTGTGTGTTATCTTCCCAGTAGTTAGGTTCCAGTTTCTTCATCCATTCAGTCTTGGGAAGATACTGCCGAGTGTCGCTGTTATAATTTACTATCTCCTTATCATCCACATATCCGACTATAGAGAACACAGGGAGCCCGGATCCCGGAGAGGAGACTGCAGTGTAATAATACCGCAGAGAGTGACTGTCTGATAGAGAGACATACAGACTGTTATATATACATCCTGTACACATCACACAGCATAATGTATATAATGGATACATACAAGTGTCATCCCTGACCCAGATCACTGCCGGAATAAGATCAGATCATGTCTACTTCAGTGTGAAGAGAATAATGTACAGAAATAATCCCCTCCAATGTGATAACGATGATATGAATTTACTATTATTAGTACAACAATCCCCCCTATGAACTGCAATCCCAATCTTGTATCGCTGATCAACACTGACCATAATGTATGATGTAATTAGGGATGAGCTCAGCCATGGCTGGACACAAGTCTGGACCTGCCTCACCGATCCCACCAGGATGTTGTCACTGCGAACAGCGAATCACAAGCAGCAGAGGCATCCCCCACCCTGTATCCGCACATATACAAGGGGGGGGTATAGTAATGGCTGACAGGCGTTCAGGAGGCGCTACTTACACCTGATAATGCATTTTTTAGACTATTTTAATTGCTGAAGTGCGATTTTACATCGTGTGACATTTCTAAACAGTGAGCCAAGTGTTTGGGTTATAGTCGTGGTGCGGCCCCATTGGTCTCAATGGGTGCGTTTGACAAGCAGTGCGACCCGTCAGACCCGGCAACCCAAGATAAAAAATGGTGCAGCCATGAAGCAAAGCATCGCAGCCACAGCATCTGCACAGCCCTGTCAGGCTGTAATATTAGCGTTTGGGTGGTCGGGGGGCAGTAAAACTGTGGATCAGCCACCAATTTGCATTACCTCCCAGCTACCCATGTGAAAGAGTCCTTAGTGGTTAAATGTCTGTACTAAGATCTACCTCTGTGCAGGAGAATACCCCCCACCCCCTCCCCTACACACAGATCACTGAGGATTCGGGGCAAATTCACATTGAAAAGCCATTAAAATCGCAGAGCAGCCGGAGCAATTCACCACCGCGGCCGCTCTGCATTGTCGGCTGTACTAGGGGGGCAGTGTGGTACGTGACTCAGCGCATCACATGGCTCCCTTTTTTTGTTTTGTACCAGCTTTATTTAAAGTGTACAAAATGTGCTGTCTGACATTGCAGTGCGATTCGGCTCAAGGCACTGCGATAAAATGCCGCATGTCTGCATTATACCGCAACACTAGGCTGCATTGCAGTGTGAATGGGACACAGAGGAAGCAATCGTTTCCTGTCACTGCATAGAGTATGAATTGGCCCTTATACAATCTCGGGTTTATTACAACATCCTCTAACAATCATTGTATGTACATGACGCAGCTTTATTGTTATATAATACTGACAGAGATGAATACATTTTGTGTATATGTTGTAGTCTGTGTGCACATTGGTACACATGGAGGGTGCACATTGGTACACATGGAGGGTGCACATTGGTACACATGGAGGGTGCAGACTGAATGCTGTGATCATAGGATGTCACATGAGCTCCAAGCCCTGCCATACACACATATATGGTTTAGTAAATCAGACCCAAAATAATTCATCCAATCACCAATGTTTAATCTGCTACAAATAACAAGGACCATTGTGTACTGAGGATACAAGATTGATGTCCACAAACAAATATAAAGTGATGGGAGGAAAATTATTGAAATTTAAATTATGAAAATATGTGATGAGAGACAGTAAGGGTGGGGGAGGGGGCCCTGCACTACTACACAATGATGAGAATTACAGGACAATGTGGGGTCTGTGTATGAAAAGTGATCTGAGATCAATGATTTGTTACCAGCAACCAACTCTCTGCAATGCAGTGTTGAAAAATAAACAAGGATCCTTACTGTAGGAGAGAAGAAAGCTCCTGACCGCTGCAAACCAACGAGACCCGACGGTCATAGAGGTGAAAGCAGCCTCAGCCAGCTCCATCCAAGCCACGCCCCAATCTGTGTAACCCTGTGGGACAAAACGCGTCGGGGAGGCATGGTCTGGATGAAGTCTGGTCTGGTTGGTGTGCGGCAATCAGGAGCTTTCTTTTCTCCTACTGAATGTATTGAGCCGGAATGGGCTCTTCCCAAGCCAGTACCATCAGTGGGGTCACCGAGTTTGGATTAAAACCTGTAGAGGCACCCAAAGTTTTCACAATACAGGTTCACAAGGATCCCGACTGGTTACTATTGGCAACAATTCATCTTTTTGTTATATATATATATATATATATATATATATATATCCCATTATTTTAGTAGAATTGAATGTAAAACGTTTTCCCATTTGAATAGAGTAAGGGAGGGTTATGACCTTTGTCAGTTTTTGCTATATGTCCCATTGGTGAGTCTTCCCTTTACTTCCTGTACTATAGCCAACCCAGGAAATGAGAAGAAATCCCTCCAAAGTTCGGTAAACTATGGTTGTCACCTGAACTAGTGTCCTCATTGGAAGATTTCCCTTCTATTCCTGTTCTGGATCTCACCATAATTTGGGATTTTCTTCCACATTTAGGCCGGGTCCACAGCAGTACAATCTGAGATGTGATTTCAGTTTCACAGAATCGCATGACAATGGAAATCACGTTGTTCTCAATGGTGCCCATTCACATCAATGGAACTCGGCATGGAGTGATTTTGGAAAACGTTGCTGGACTACTTTGCTGTGATTCCGGAGTGATTTTGGACCCAAAGAATATGCAAACCAAATCCAAAACACAACCAAGTCACACGACATAATCACACTAAAAATCAGATGAAAATCAGATAGCCGAGCCTCACCCTCAGGGATACCAGTAATAGGATATATAGAGGGTACATTGGGGGGTCTCATCCCTCCCACTCTGTCCAATGATAACAAAATACTGCCATTACTTCTACTAGAATCTGGAGAGCCCCTTGTAAGGATCAGCCACAAAAAAATGATTTTTGGGCATTTTGCAGCATCCCCCACATTCATATACAGCTCAATGAAATCTCTGATTTGCTGAGGATTTACTCCGACTTTGGATTTGGTTTTATTGTACATAAGAAAAGTTGCAGCTAAAGGAATGAGACTCTGGAACAGGCTGATCAGAAATGGCTATACTACTGATATATTCCTCCCTCTGAGGTATCTGAGAGATAGAAATTGATTTAGGAAGAATTTGGGAAGAAAACCAATTAATCTAAAAAAAGTTCTCTACAGGGGGGAGAAAAATCCCAGAAAAGTGTAGAAATCTCCCGACTCCCAACTAGAATCCTGAATCCAGCGATGTATGAAGAGCTGTAGGTGTCCTTCATAAAACTAGCAAAAACCAAAATCAATGCATACAAATAGGGACGCAGCGATGTTTCTGCTGCCAAATGATTGGCCGAAAATAGGGTTATCTGCGTTCTGCCGATAGAAAAAAAGGTGCCGGTAATGGAAGCCAAAAAGGTGCAATTTTGCTGAATTTTTGCTGTGATTTTACCAGTTTATGGTGTTTTTCAGAGATCATGTGACTCAAAAACCGCACCAAAACTGCAACACGCGTTTTCAATCCATTTGCCCTGGGTCATACTTTTGCAATGTGGAAAATGCATAAAGTCCTGTGCGTCTCCCACATTGCAATCACATGGCGTCTATGCAATCTGCTGCAGGTGTCAATGTTGTTAATTTAATACTCTGAAACAGATCGCAAAACACAGTGTGATTGCCAGAATCGCATTACATGGGTGTGAACACTTGTGCAACGCGATTCAGGTACGGCCGAAAAAAGGGTCCAGCAATTTTGGTTTGGATGCGATTTCACCAAGACAAAATGTACGGTTCAAATCATACCGCACAGACATTGCATGTGATGTGTACAGGAATGCAGTGCGATTCCTGTGTGAATCACATGCGGTGTCCCACACCACATAAGTGTGAACCTAGGCCCAATGGGGAGGTAAGCTTTAGGTTCGCTTTTTTTTTTTAACTTAACCAAATATGCAGCAAATATGCAGAAAGCAGGATTTACCCTACAAGGGAAGTGCAATGGACCAGTGTGAAGGCATACATAGAATTTAATGGAGGCATTTTTTCAGCTTTTCTTGCACTCTTAATCGCAAAAGTGCTTCAAAAACTTCTCTGTGAAACCAGCCGAAAAGGTGCAGAAAATAAATTCATATTGATTTAAATTGATGATATTAAGTAAGAAATTGAACACAATTACAAATAAAATGTATATAAATATATACGGGGCTATTTTTCCCAGAGAATAGGTGCAGGACCTCCCTCCTTCTGAGTCACTCCTTGTCTCCACCCCCTACCCACCTCTGAGCACCGTCCCTGGGTTCCACCCCCTACCCTCCTCTGAGCACCGTCCCTGGGTTCCACCCCCTACCCTCCTCTGAGCACCGCCCCTGGGTTCTACCCTCCTCTGAGCACCACCCCTGGGTTCCACCCCCTACCCTCCTCTGAGCACCGTCCCTGGGTTCCACCCTCTACCCACCTCTGAGCACCGCCCCTGCGTTCCACCCTCTACCGTCCTATGAGCACCGTCCCTGGGTTCCACCCCCCTGCCCACCTACCACCCTCCTCTGAGAACCATCCCTGGGTTCCACCCCCTACCCACCTCCCAGTACCGTCCCTGGGTTCCACCCCCTACCCTCCTCTGAGCACCGCCCCTGGGTTCCACCCCTAACCACCTCCCAGTACCGCTCCTCTTAGAGAGTACAGAGCCAAGTATCATTTTTGGATCCAAGTAATTTGCATTGAATTTGTTAATAACA